GCTCGATGCTACCGTGAGCCACCAGTTGCTCGTCAGGACTGATGTGCGTGAGTCCCGACTTCGTCAGTTTTGCGAGCTAGACGTGGGTGGGGTGCTGCCTGAGAACTCTTGTGAGTCGGCTTCCGATGACGCGGCGGCCGATGGCTCGGCTGCCGAGAGCGCGGCTGCTGAGTGTGTGGCTGCCGAGAGCGCGGCTGCTGAGAGTGTGGCTGACGATGGCGCAGCTGCTGAGGGTGTGGCTGCCGAGAGCGCGGCTGCTCAGAGTGTGGCTGCCGATGGCGCAGCTGCTGAGGGTGTGGCTGCCGATGGCGCAGCTGTTGAGAGGGATGTAGGAGAAGTAGAGCGCACTTTGGTAGCTGTTGTAACTGACGTGGCTCCCGAACCGATTGTCGACATTCAGCGGTTTTCTTCGCTGTCCAAAGTAGTGCGTGTGATGGGCCTCGTTCTGAAATTCATTAGGTTGCTGAGGTCGCGAGCTACTGCCAAGGGCAGGAGCGCCACTCCTGGTGGTGTGTTGAGCGATGACGAGCTGCGTGAAGCTCAAACACGTTTGATTCGAGAGGTCCAGTCGCGGGCGTTCCCTGAGGAGTACAGTGCTCTGAGTAAAGGCAAGATGCTGTCGCACAGCTCGCAGCTTTCTTCGCTTTGTCCATTCGTAGACGAGTCCGGTTTGCTGCGGGTTCGCAGTAGACTGGCCAACGCAGACTTGTCGTTAGGTGATAAGTGCCCTATTTTGATACCCAAGGGCCATTTGGCGGACCTCCTTGTAGGGTTCCAACACACACATCTGAAACACGCTGGCATTGACACGATTTTGACGTCACTACGGTGCGAGTACTGGGTCATAGGAGCGCGAAGGACGGCCAAAAGGATAAAACGATCCTGTTTGGCCTGCCAGAAGCAGGATGCTGCGGCGTTGAATGCACCAGTTGCTCCGCTGCCAACGCTGAGGGCTAGCAAGGCGCCGCCCTTTTCAGTAACTGGTGTAGATTTTTGTGGGCCACTCTCAGTTCTCGAGAGAAAGAAGGTGTATATATGTTTGTTTACTTGCGCTGTCACCAGGGCTGTCCATTTGGAGTTAGTGGACTCGCTTACCCTGGCTGATTTTCTTCTAGCATTTAGACGGTTTTGCGCGAGACGTGGCTCACCCGCAACCATGTATTCTGACAACGCCAAAACATTTGTGAGCGCGTCCAAAGTCCTGAAGTCCGAATTGGGAGCGACATGTCCGGCCTGGAAGTTCATTGCCCCACGGGCTGCTTGGTGGGGAGGATGGTGGGAGCGGTTAGTGCGGACAGTGAAAAGCTCACTACGGAAAACTTTGGGCAAAGATTGTTTGACCAAAGTCGAGCTAGATACATGTCTCGCGGAAGTTGAGGCTTGTATCAATTCGCGACCGTTGACATTCGTGGGTGATGAGCCTGACAGTTGCCTTCCTCTCACTCCCTCGCATTTTCTTACCGGTAGAATAGCTGGTACGCATTTAGAGGTCACTGACGATGCCGAGGAGGTGTCAGCCTCGACGCTACGCGAGAGAGACCTCGAGCGTCAGGGTTTGTTGGCGAAGTTTTGGGCGGTGTGGCAAAACGATTATTTGCGAAGTCTGCCGCACGCCGTACGTAGGTTTAAGTCGCGCGGTCGATTGCAGGTTGGTTCGGTCGTGCTAGTGCGGGAGGACGGCTTGCCCCGACTGCGGTGGGAAATGGGAGTGGTGTCAAAACTGCATCCTGGCTCTGACGGAGTAGTCAGAGTCGCAGACATCCGCACCGCAAAAGGAACTCGCACGAGAGCGGTACAGTGTTTACATGACCTCGAGGTACTCGAGTAGACACCTCGATTCGCGCCGTATGCAAAAAGCGCGTTTGTCTTGTGATGTTTGCAGCTTCCTGCGAACTTGCTGATTCGTCTTTGACAAATCTTTCTTCTGTCAGCTAATTTCTAATTTGTTGTCTTCCTTGCTGAGCTTGGTTTGTTGTGACATCCATTGTCACACTATTTGATATTGCTGATCTTTGCAGAACTTCTTCGTTTAGTTGTTTGGTTGGTCTCGATAATAGTTGTTTGGCCTTTAGGTTTAGTTGGTTGAGTTGATCCAACTGGTTGCTTTGGTTGATTGGACTGTTTTGTTTAGTTTGTTGCGAAGGTAAATGGGATGTTGGATTTACACCCACGCCTTCTATCAGATAAGTACCAGTCTGACCGATAAGCTTGGCCAAGTACCAGTTGCAATGGTTGTCGTTGCGAAAGACGGAATTTCACATTCCCGTCTTTCACGGGGGGGAGTATGTTGGCGATTGAGGCTTGGTATTGGGGCGGCCGGCGAGTTGGCCGTGCTGCCCTCTGCTGTGCTCGTGTGGCGGCGGTTGATTGTCGTCTGACACGTGCTGCCGCCTAGCGGACAGGGGTATTTCTCTTTCGTGCCCAGTTTTCACTACGCTGTTTGTGCTGCCATTTATTTGGTAGCGGCGTGGTGCGGCGATTTGTGCGTTAAAACGTCTCTTTTGTTTACACGTGGTGAGTAAGTGATTTCGGAGGTACCCGCCCAGTTTCACGTCACTTGGTCGTTGATGCTCTTAGGGTTCGGACTGACACGGTTTTGGCTTGATACCCCGCCCCCTCCCCCTTTGACCCGCTGGAGGATTCGTCCGCTCTTGTTGGAATTGGACTAGTGGTTTGCTCGAGAGTTTGAGAGTTTGTTTGTCTAGTTGTTTGCTCGAGAGTTAGTTGTTTGCCCTAACTATTCATTAGTTAGGTTAGGTTTTGGTCTTTGGTCTTCTGTAGATTTCATCTTGATTTCTTTCCATTGTTACACACTTTCTTCATAAGTATTCTAGGTCTTTGGTCTTCTGGTTTATTTAGGGTTGTTTCTAAGTTATTCAATTTTCCATCTTTTGCTTGGTTGGTTGGTAACAAGAACTGTTCAGCTTTAACCAGCAGACTGCTACACGAAAGCGAGGGAAAGAAGGGGCGACACCTGACACAGCTTATTCCGCAGCCTCGACGGCAGGCTCAGCCTTGGCCTCCTCGACCTTCTCGAAGGTCAGGGGCAGACCCAGGCCGGCGTAGCCATAGCCGTAGGGGGCGGCGTAGCCGTACGCGTGAGGAGCGGCGTAGCCGTACGCATGAGGAACGCCGGCATAGGCGACGGCGGGGGCGGCAGCGTAGGTGACGGGGTGCTCGACGGTGGTGGACTTGACGACGGGGGCTCCGTGGCTGTAGGAGACGCCGACCGCCTTCCGCACGGTGGAGACCACGGGACTGACGGCGGCGTAGGCGTGCGCCTCGTCGGTGCGGTAGGCGAAGTTGCCGCCGAACCTGTGGCTCCAGGGGCGGATCCAGGAATACTCCAAGGGGAGGGTCATGAATCGAAGTGGTGCCCCTACCTATACCCAAAATTAAAAACTCAGCGGATTTCGTCCACTTCATTTTGGTGGTGCCCCCATTTTCAGTTTATTTTTTATTTTTTTATTTTTAGTCAGTATCTTAACTCTTAGCCACAACCACATTTACCAATTGTAAGCAAGTATATATGAATGTGCTATGTGTGTATATGTTGTGGACGCTGAGTAGTGAGTACTTACCAGGAGCGTTATCAGGTAAGCGAATCGTTGTCAGTCCGACGAACTTGACCCTGGCGTCTAAAGGGTCTGTCCTTGACACTTCAGGCTTGTCAGGGGCACCAAAGTCCTTCCAGGGACACCACAAACCTGTCAGGGGCACCTACGGCCTTGTAGGGGCGCCACAGGCCCTCCAGGAAGCAGGGGCACCACAGGTCTAGCAAGTATACACGACAGGCCTGTCAGGGGCACAACGGGCCTGTTGGGCCCATGAGCACCCCTAGGGGCAGGGGCACCACAGTCCTTCCAGGGGCACCGCAGGCCTGTGAGGGGCACCAGCGGCCTAGCAGGGGCACCAGTCAACAAAGGCCTGCCAGGGGCACCACAGACCTGCCAGGGCACCAGAGGCCTACCAGGAGCACCACCGACCTCGCAGGGGTAACTTGGGCCTGTCAGGGGCACCGCGGGCCTGTCGAGAGGCATTTCAGGCTTTTCAGGGGCACCATAGTCCTCTCCGGGCGCAGGGGTAGCAGGGGCACCAGAGGCCTGCCAGGGGCACCACAGGCCTAGCAAGGGCACCTCAGGCCTGTCATGGCCCAGGGACACCACAGTCCTTCCAGGGGCACCACAAGCCTGACAGGGGCACCAGAGGCTTAGCAAGGGCACCACAGGCCTGCCAGGGGCACTACAGGCCTAGCAAGGGCACCACTGGTCTATCAGGGGCACCACAAGCCTGTCATAGCCAGGCATCTGAGGCTTGTCAAGGCCCAGGGGCACCACAGGTCTGTGAGGGGCACCAGCGGCCTAGCAACGGCACCAGTCAACACAGGTCTGCCAGGGGCGCCACAGACCTGCCAGGGGCACCACAGACCTGTCAGGGGCACCAGAGGTCTGCCAGGGGCACCACCGGCCTCGCAGGGGCACCTTGGGCCTGTCAGGGGCACCACAGGCCTGCCAGGGGCACCACAGGCCTAGCAAGGCACCATTGGCCTGTCAGGAGCACCACGAGCCTGTCATGACCGGGCACCTCAGGCTTGTCAGGGCCCAGGGGCACCACAGTCCTTCCAGGAGCATTACAAGCCTGTCAGGGGCACCAGAGGCCTAGCAAGGGCACCACAGGCCTGCCATGGACACCACAGGCCTGCCAGGGGCACCACCGGCCTTGCAGGGGCACCTCAGGCCTGTCAGGGGCACCACGTGCCTGCTGGGGACACTTCAGGCTTGTCAGGGGCGTTACAGTCCTGTCAGGGCCCAGGGCCACCAGGCCCGTGGTGTCCCTGCTAGGCCTGTGGTGCCCCTGTCAGGACTGTGATACCCCTGATAGGCCGGTGGTGCCCCTGGCAGGTCTTTGGGCCCCCGGGCCTCAAGGGGGGGGGGCCATGACCCATGTGACCCCCCCCCCCCCTTGGATCCGCCCCTGGATGGATGACGGCCGAGTCGTGGGCGGGCGCCCGCAGGACGGTGGTGGCCGGCACGACCAGGCCGGCGCTGGCGCACGCCAGGGTAGCGAACAGGGCAACGAACTGCAAACACAAACACAAGCGGGCGTCAGCGGCGGGCACCGAAGTGTGCTGATTAAAAAAAAAATGGATTAATGAGCGACGAAACCATTTTTGTAAATGGTTGAAAAATAGATCTTCGGGTGATTCTAATGCACCGAAACATTTTATTTCTTCTTCTGATAGTATGCTTGACAAGAATGTCTCGAGCTCTCGTTTTATTAATCTCGAGACTTCCGCATCACGTGCTGTTGTGAACTTACCACCTTCATGATGCTGCTGGCTGGGTGAGTCTGCAGAGGAGAATATCTCTCAAACAGCTGCCGCCGTCTTTATAACCAGAGCACTGGTGACGTCACTCGCCGTCTTGTGACGTCATTTACGAAGGTCACGCAAGGCGGGGCTGAGTTTAACCACGCCCTTATCAGACACGCTGTGCGATGTGCCTTCCTAAATAGATTAGTCGTTCGCTGAGATACGTCTGTTTGCACCAACAATTAAAAGTGATTTGGTTGAAAGCGATGGCTTCAAATCCGCAAAAGCTGCTTTTTATTGCAAGTTCAATCAAGCCTGAGCTTTGCACGCAGAACCTTAGGTACTATTATCAATTTTTTTTTTTCATTAATTATAGAGTGAAATTGACAGTGGCACCATCCATGAATTCCCTTGCTGCCTTTCGATTAGGAGCAATTACTTTGTGGACATTTATCTTCCAAGAAAACAAAAAAAAAATACACGAAAGCTTTATTTACGCTCACTGAAAAGCATGCAATACGGGTTTACACAAGCCCACCTCGTTACACATTTCAGCGCATCTTTTCATGAAATAGCAACAGAGAACATAAAAAATATTTAATCTAAGAAGAAAAATGAACTGTCATGAAGTGGCAATGTCGCATTATTATCCAACGTTTTCGTCGATTTCTTGAAATCATCATTTCTAGGTCAACTCTAAACACATTTCGAAAAATATAACTCGTAGGCAAATCGAGCGTCGAGCGTCTCTCGGAATCCCCGCTGGCAGTTCTCAGTTGAAGAACTCGGGGAAGAGCTGCAGCTCGTGCACTAGTTGCGGAAGGCTCTGCGGTCCGGCTGCCGAACGGAGGTACTGCGGCACCTGATCAGGCGAGTACGGCTCCTGCTTGTACCCGTACCCGTCGTAGCTGTACCTGTACGGAAATACGGAGAATGTTATTACGAGAGAAGTTGTCAACTGCGGATAATTTTCGCCGCTGACGCCGTTACCAATGTTCAGTGGCCATCGAACTGAAAGATGTGATTAAAATGTCAGCTGCCCGTATTGGCGATGTTTCATGCCTGTCTTATTTGTTTATCGTTATTATTGAAGTATCTTAATGTTTTGTCTATAGTTTATCTGAGAACAGAAGACACAAACCTGAAAGCCTCGATGACGGCGCCGTCCGGGCTGCGTTTTCCCGAGATGCCCCTCAGCTGACCGCTGCCCAGACGCTGCTCCACACGGAAATCGCCGTCCTCGGTCTCATAGCCGAACCTGCCGAGGAAGCCGCCATTAGAGGAAGGGTAAAGGCTGCTGTAAATGAGTCTGGTTACATCAGATATAGACAGTGCAACTAAGTGGCAATAGAAAGTAATCACGTAATAAAGCGATCACGGGTGCAATGAAGACATACAAGATGAAACTTGAACTCAGAAGGCAGGTTGGTAAGCTGAGCAGTGAGCTAAGTTAATGTATCAGTAAAAGGTGACCATTTCATACCAGACCCCAGTGACTAGCTCGACTCTACGCTCTACACACGGCGCCTTACTTGTAGCTGCCATCTCCAGGGTTGAGCTCCTGATGCTGATAGCCCTGGGTCGGGGACTCGCCGTCAGCGCCCTCTGTCAGAAGAGGCTCGGGCTGAGCGGACAGAGCGCTGCCTTGCGGTAGAGGTACCGCTGCAGAGGTCGCCACGAGCGCAATGAGGATCAACCGGAGCTGAAAAAGGTATACGGCATTATACACTATACAGTCAACAGACCTTGCTTTGCATGGCAAGGGAAGCGCTTGCTGCAGATTGCAATCTGCAAATTTTGGCCCTTTCCTAGAATAAGTTTGTTTTGGGCAGATAAAAAAAGCTTCAAATGCGATTCATCCGAGGTAAAAGGTCGAAATATGGAAACGACTTTACCAATAACGATTCAAAATCAGTCGTTTGTTTTCTTTCAAAAAATAAAAAACAAAAAGAAAACAGGTAGGACTAAAAAGGGAATACCGTTCGAATCGATATCTTTGTGTCTTAGCTCCTGCCTCGCATTGCCTTGCCACCCATACAACACTCATTATACACTGACTAGTGACCACGCCCTCTCCATCCAGGTCATAAACAGCTCACCTCCCCCTATATCAAGCCTCACAGCCACCTCCAATATCCCTCCTATCATCCAATCTTCCCAGAGGGTGCCCTAAATCAGCCCCGGGTCAGCGGCTCAGCCGTCAGCCGGCAGTCAGATCAAGGTCAGATGGCGCCCCGTGGACGGACGGAGCGGGAGCTGACCATCAGTGACGTCATAGCAGTGTGTGACGTCATTAGGGGCAGTGTGAGTGTAACAACATATGAGGAGTATGTAAATCGGCGACCGGAACAAAAGAGTAATATCAGGAATGTTAAGTAATACCAACATTAATCATGTCGTTGATATTTTCAGCAGAAAGCAGATGTTTTCTCTATTTTCTTTGTCCTTAACGTAATTCCTACTGATATGTAGCAAAACCTTTACTGTTCAATACGCATTTCTAATTAATTTTACAATCATCTGAAGTGATAAGCGATGCCCTAGTTACAAATCCCAATGAGCAGAAGCAGACATCCGGCGTAATTAAATGTCGCTCACTACCTAACTCATCGCAGTAATTGATGTTTATGGTATTGTGCTGGTAGTCAAATGCTCGTATGCAGCCCACAAAAGCAGGTCATTTGTTTAGTGGATGACCCAAGCAGTTCCCATTATCATCTCTCGGTAGTCAACTGCCGGCTGCCCGCTATCTTGGTATCAGTCGCTCCGCAATCTAGTTTTTGTGGGAGCTTCTCTACGCGTATCACGCTAGTGTAATTACATATCTATCTCCGGAGAAGTGGACACAGGTGATAGACTCTGCACGTGATGCAACCAAGGAAGACAAGGTTGTCTGCTGAAAGGGAGAAGGCTGGTATGTGACACTCCGGGTCCCAACAAGGATGAAATTAGGAAAGGAAATCAGGTAGAAAAGATGGTGGAGGACGAAGCAATGTTTGCTTGTGCAAATAAGTGCGATTAAAATGCCTAATTTATTTACATTATAATTTGCACATCTTTCATTAGCATATGAGCAAAATTAAAGAAATATTCGTGCTTATAAAAGGAATGGGTAACAATCACACCAGAATATTGAAACTTACGTAAGGCAAGCAAAGAAAACGTCATTGAAATAAAATTTATGACGTATTCCTAGCCAAAAATAAAGGCATAAATTATGGCTTTTCCACAAATAAATAACAGATATATCCAGTTGCAATGCCACATGCATACGAATATCGGCAACCTACACTTCTTCTCACCCTTTCCCCATTCACTATCCCCCTCCAGGGACCCCTCCCTCCCCCCCCCCCCCTCAGACAGCGGCCCCGCCCGGGCGTGTGGGGAGGGCCCGGCCGTCCAGGATGTTCTCCCCAAGGTCACCGGTCAGGGCAGACGTGTTCAGTTCACCCCTCAGAGAATACGACCAGCGCCGCCGCCGCCGCTGACCACACCCTTCCACCTCCTCACCGAACGTCACACTTTGGAGGAGCTCCAGCCTCCAGAGAGTCACACGAAACGGGACACTCTAGTACACACAGCGAGAGCGCAGGGCCTGGTACTCACAGCAGCCATGTTGGGACGACACTGAACGCTGTCAGAGTGAGAGGAGAGAGCAGGAGAGTGGGTAGAGGTCGGAGTTGGTGATGGCGAAATCCGCCAACCAGTCGGATAAGGGATTCATACGTTGCGGCTTAGCGGATCTAAGCACCAGAGGGATCAGGCGGAAACTTGATTTGAAATTCAAAATGAAGCTTACAGTTCCAATGCACAATTAACGCGTCTTTTTTCAGTGAGCTCTGAATGCTACAACAGTTTAATAAAGATGTCTCAGTAATTACGTGCGCCCCATGAGCGTTCAATGTCGCAAACGGACAGAATATCGCAATTTTCGTGTCATATAAGGTCGCCTGGTTTTGCTGGAAACGCTTAACTTTGGCAATTGGCATCTAAATACTCCCGTTACCCTGGATTGCATATTGAGAACAGCAGAGGTCCAGGCCTACGTAACAAGCTCTGCTTAGCGTGGGATCCGGCTCTCTCAGTCTCAGTTCATCCATGCAAGCATTCGAGCTGAATTTATTTTAAAACGATACTTGCACAACAAAGTTTATTATATTATTATGCGTAACCTTCCGCAGGATTGTGTGAAAACTGACGAGGCATTGACTCGCGCTCAGTTGCCAGACATTATCCTACTACACATAATTATTTCAGATTATGGAAATAAGGTTATAGAAACGAGCTTAGCCCCAGGTAGTTTTTAACCATTAAATGGTAACACTGTTGCTGGAAAATACAGAGTTCAAGCTTTTCAATCCTTGTAGGCTGTACCTACCCCACGTAGGTGAAATGCCATCACTGCAAAGCACGGAAGAAATAGAGAAATGCGTAGAACATCTTGTTAAAACAAACATTTTCTTCAAGAAGGAAGAGCAAAGGACCTAGCAACAAACCTTGTAAAATACTATTGTGGCCAGGATAGATTCCCTGAAGTCTTTTCTTCTCTCCTTTCTGCTTGTTCAGCCCTGATGAGTGATTAGTGTATGAATCGTTTTTAACAGCTCCCACCAGAATTCCGACCTATCTGTCCGTTCAGCTGAGGACAAAAGCTTTTATCCATCAGCACCGTCATTTCCTTCATCAAGTTTCTCATCAACGGCTTCAGAAAAAAAAACGTATTATCTCGCGATACACATGTATTTATATAAAAATATAGCTGACTGACAAACACAGAATGGGGCCAAAAGGGAAATCATGAACATAGAACTCCTGGTTTTCAGCGCCGGTGACAATTCGAACGTCTCTCTCACTCAAAGGCACGTTCGAAATTTTCACCACAAGATGGCAGCAGCAGCAGTCCGTCGCGTTTACCACTCGCTGACGGCGACATGGGCGGGGGCGGCGTATCCGTAGGCGGGGGCGGCGTAGCCGTAGGCGGGGGCGGCGTAGCCGTAGCCGTAGGCGGGGGCGGAGTAGGTGGAGACGGCGTGCCGGACCACGGGCTGGACCACGGGCTGGACCACCTCGGTGGTCTCGACCACCGGCGTGACGGCGTACGGCGCGGCCACCGGCACGGGCACCTTCCTGGCCACGGGCCGCGGCACGGGCACGGCCACGTCCACCTGCTTGTGCGTGATCTCGGGCACGGTGCGCGTGATGTGCGGCTGGATGCGCGTCACCGGCCGGCCGGCCGCCGAGATGGCCGTCTTCTTGACCAGCGCGTCCAGGCCAGGCGACAGGCCGTTGTCGGGCACCGGGCCGGGCACGGCCGCGTTCACGTGGCTGTAGGTGACGGCGTGCGGCAGCGCGGCCGCTGAGGTGAGCGCCGGCGCCGCCGCGTAGGTGGCCGCCAGGTTGTAGTGGCCGGGCGCGGCGCAGGCCACCGCCACCAGGGCGCTGAGGACAACCTGCAACACGGCGGGGGACAGGTCAGACCGGAAATCAGCTCATAGGAGAAAACAGTTTGTCATGATTGCCTAAAAAATTGCACAACATAACTGGGCATGCTCATTTACAGGTAATTGAATTCTTGATTTATGTTTTTATCAACTTTCTTCTGTTTGCTACAATTTCCTTATTTTTTTCTTTTGAAAGTTACCTGAACAGATAAAATGCCGAAATATGATTGCAGTGCTTTCGAAGTTCTTAAAAATGTTAAACTTCCAAAAAATCGTAGCATTTTAGCTACATTTTTTGATTGGTTCTGGGAACTCACCAGGGGGTTCATGATTGGTGCGTTGTATGAGCGAGTGCCGTCTCCTCCTTGTCTGCCGGTTTTATACCGTCCAGCTGAGTCTGACCCTGGACGGCTCTGAGCGACCAATCAGGTAACGGCTCCGGTGGAGACCACGCCCAAAGTATGACGTCATATGAGTCCAAAGAGCGGACGAGGGAAATATCTGAGCCTGGTGTTGTCCAATGTCTTCTGTTCAGCCAGTGATAGTGCGGTCAGTCCGTCTTATTCCACATGACGGAAAGCGATGTTTTTCTTAACGGTTGAATGTTATGATTATAGTGATTGAGGGAGCTTTACCCAAACTACCAAACCTCATTACCTCATTACCAAAGTATGCAATAAAGTCGAAGAAATACAAAAATGCGTCTGTAAATAAATGAAGACACGCATATTTTGGAGATATAAATAAAATATAGGTATATCAATGATAGCATTTCAAGTAGGTATATAGAAAATGAAGCATCGCAATTGATATTCAGTCCATCAACACTCGTAAAGACGGTGTTGTATCCTCTTCTAATTTCCGTATTATGCAAGAAAATCAGCGACACCGTAAGAAATGTGTCGATAGGTATCCAACGAATGTCTTAGAATCTCGGTTTATAAAATATAGGTATATCAATGATAGCATTTCAAGTAGGTATATAGAAAATGAAGCATCGCAATTGATATTCAGTCCATCAACACTCGTAATGACGGTGTTGTATCCTCTTCTAATTTCCGTATTATGCAAGAAAATCAGCGACACCGTAAGAAATGTGTCGATAGGTATCCAACGAATGTCTTAGAATCTGTTTATCGAAATAAGCCAAACATGGTGTCATTCTGACGTTGATAACACAACCTATTTTAGCTGTGAAGTTTCGCTGTGAATATAATGCGCGAAATGAATGCAGCTAAGGGCATTGGTGTTTCTTTTCTGGTTGTTTGCTTTCGAAGAAATTTTAATGAGAGGAGATCTGTGAACTCTGCAGTCCTCCCCCCGTTAGGCGCGGTTTATATCGTGGGCTCTTGCATCCCTTGGGTGATGTTTAGCGCCATGTTGTTAAAAGGAATGTGCTATTAAATCCAATCTAATTTCAATTTCCTTGTTGTCCTCTCGATCGTGCGCTGATGGCGCCTGATTTGCTTTCTACCCCTAACCGCTCTCATTAGTCGCTCCTCGTTTTTGCGCCGTAATATCCGCCTCTGTGAGCACGTGCAATTCGTCCTCCGCCCCCCCCCCCTCCCCCTCCCCTGCTGTCCGACCCGTCCATTAACTCCGCCCTGAGATGGTATCGCGCCAGTGATTGGTGCTGACACCGAAGGTCGTACCCCTCTCTGCCCCCCGCCCCTCCCCACAGGGTGGTAAAAGCCTTTTGGCGTAATTCGATTTATAAGAGAACTTGTTATTTTAACCCTCGCATGTGTGCGGCGTTTTCCAGCTTCTAATGTGTAGGGGGGGTCGGTTGGACCCCCCCCCCTTGCCGTTTGGCCCCTGATCGAGCTAGAGCTTCGCGGAAAAAACGAGCGTGTTGCCCGTGACGAGAGGAAGCCAATGATACCCAATTTTAAGGTCCTAGGTCATTGGTTGACCTTCCAGGTCAGGTCAATGACCCAAGGTCGGGAAAATCGGGACCTGTTAGAAAGTCGTAAAGTGTGGCTGCTAAGGGGTTTTTCGGGGTGCTGATCACGAATATCGTGTTAGTTTTGATCACAGATGATGTCTTTAAGCATTTAGACCAGGTCGGGTCAGGTCAGGTCAGGTCAACCAGTAGGCGTCGTGACGGGTATTAGTATTACGTGTCAACCGCCTCTGACAGCTTCGTAACATGTTACGAAGTCACCAAAACTACTTCGTAAATGTTCAAATGGTTGCTAAATTCGAATTCAGCTCCAAAAACTAGCCTAGAAACATGTAAAACTCGAAAAAGTGAACCGAGGTCACCAAAGGTCAATGACCTGACCTGACCTTCAGGTGACCTTGACACCCACCCTAATGCATGGGAGCAACATCAAATCACATGTTTGAACGTTTGAAACCACGAAAAGCTTGCAAACGCGCGGCTAATGCGAGCCGACATACGCGGAATCGCGATTCCGGCCAAACATGGTCTCGGAAAAGAGGTCACAGGTCAAAGGTCATTGGGGTCAGGGTCATGAAATTTTCAGGGTAGGTGTAAAATTGATCAATGCGAGGGTACTGAAAGTTTCGTCGCGATCGGCCGCTTTTTACGCGAGTTATTCGCGAAAAACCATGGGGGGGTCCATCCGACCCCCCCCCCCTACACATGCGAGGGTTAACATTAAAACACTTTAAATGAATAATCTTATTCAGTTTGTAGTCATTTTATGAAATATTGCACCTATTACCTCCGAGTGTTATTTAAGTTCTGATTTGCACCATGATCCAATAGGGACCCAGAACAGGACCCAGTTCAGGATCCAGTTCAGGACGCCGTTCAGGATCCACCGGAGGGCCTCTGCCGCTGGGTGGAGCCGGAACTGAACCGCCTCGCTGGGGGGAGGGGAGGGGATGGGGAGGGGACGTCCTCGACGGGGCGGGGTCGGAATGTGTCCCTCCGGGCGGTCTGTCAGCCGCACCGGGACGGAACTCAACGGACTGAACGAGAGCGTGATGGGACGGGTGGTCCGTTTGAGCTGTCTGTCTGCTCCACAGGCTGACACTAGCAGGCGTGGGACGAGATCGAATGGGATGGGTTGGGAGTGGATGGCAAGGGATGAAAGAAGAAGAAAGAAAGAAAGAAAGAAGAAGCTGTCTATTGTTCACTGTGAAAACACTTTGCCGTGTGGAAGTGTTTTTATAAATTGCTGGAATTTTTATATTGCCTGCATAAACCATCAGTTCAACAAAATTTCCAGAAGCGTCCAAATTGTCATGTGCTATGGCCATTAATTAAAACAGTAATAATTACCGATACATTAAAATGTCTTGCGCCACGACGTATATCGTGTTCAACTTTTTCACAAGTCAGGGAAGATGCCAATTTCAAGGATCATTATCGGGCAATTTGCCACACAAAAATCAGCTGAAATACACCGTATCAAATACCCTATCGTCTTCCCTCCACGCTCGTGACTTTTCGCTCTCCTTCATTACCCCTCCCCCTGTCTGAGGAGCGAGCTCTCTGTTCCCCGTCCATCGCCTGGGGGCGTCGTTTCATCGCGTCCCGCTGGCGAGGGCGTCTCCGGTACAGCTCTGTGAAGGACACTGCCCCCGGGCAGGGGGAGGGGGAGGGGTGAGGCGGGGCGCTCTTCATGGCACCAGGATGTTACTAGGCGTGGTGAGGAAGACCCAGGGTGTGATGGGGATGTTAGCAGAGTGACCAAGATGGGGATGACGGTATAACTTACCAGGATATCATTAAACTAACTCTTCAATCACAGGTAACTTGGCAGTCGGATAATAATCAGAGCCTGACCAGAATATAACAAGAATGGTGAAAAACTGAAATCCGAATTTTGATTTAAGTTCAAAGCTGCAGAAAAAGATGATAGTAGTCGAGTCAGAATGATGAGATTAGTTTTGAGATTGAGATGTTGGTAGCCCCATCAAACTTATAGCCATGTAGGTACCCGAATTACAAACATTTATATGACAAAACAGCCAGACATCTCAAAGATCTTATGATTGTCATTCATGGCGCTAACCTTTCTGTGATTTACTGCCCTTTTTGTCGACCTCATTTCGGGCTAAGGTGAATGTTAATAGACCTGGCTGCTACGTTCCAAAGGTGACCAGCATGTTGTCACCGATGATTTAGTGTTACGGAACATTGAAAGACTTACTAGCAGCTACCGATAGATGCCTACTGGAGCTTGACGATGGTAGATTGACAGCTTTGGATTCTAAAAAGCTGGTTCGAGGGATGCAGACTGCTCAGTACAGAGTATCTAATATCCCAGTTCACCGGGCATCTTCTTTCATCAATGTCAGTCGTACATTTGAAGGGCGTTCCTCGACTCTTCGTGGCGCGTAGTGTGTATCGTGGTTTAGAAACGTCGCTCTCCAATCCTTTGCTTCCTTCCAACATTATTAGTTGCTTTTGTGACAAGCCGCTGCTTTTTGGCAGTGTAGATCGTGCTTTAGTCCGGCGTCCACCTTATCTAAGCCAGTGTGCTTCACGGTTTGGGAGGCACTCCATCCTTTCTGAGGCAGTATGGCCCGCGCTTTTGGAGGGCAGTCTGGCAGTGTGCATCGCTTTCCTCCCCTTCTCGGGCGGTGTGGTCCGCTTTTTAGGAGAGCGTCCTCCCCCTTCTCTGGCAGTGTGAGCCGCTCTTTAGGAGGGCGTCCTCCCCTTCTCGGGCGGTGTGATCCGCTTTAGGAGGGCGTCCTCCCGCGACTGGGCGTGCCGGAACTGGTGGCAGTTCTTCTGGTTCGACCTGACCTCGCCCTGTCTGGCGGGACGCCACTGCCGCTGAACTCCAGACAGAAAGGCGGGGTCGGGGCTGACGGGTGATGTAACTCGGAGTAGGGACAGTGTGAGGCCGTACTTTTTTGTTGTATGTATATTTTGATGTGACGTGTTTTTTTTTCTTCTTCTTTATAAGGCGAGCTCCGTGTCGTTGTTCTTTTTTCTATTTTTTCGTAAATATTTCGTTTGATTGTTTATTGATTTTGATCAAAGGAAAATAAATAAAAATAATCACCAATGAAGAAGTATTTTACAGACACTTTTGCTTCCTCTCACATTTTCCTATAAAAAGGAAAAATGTAGATTGTTGCCAACGAGCGCGTTGGTCACGTGTCGGTCTCGTCAAATTATCGCCAAGAGAGCCATTAGCAGCGCGGCTCTCAGTTATGTGTCCTCGTCGAGGGCGTTCCCCCGGGTTGTCCTCAGGGCTGCGTGCCCGGTCCTGCGGTCTTCTGCGACCTTGGAACTTCGCCGAGGACTTTGTTTCCCGAAATCGGCCCACAGTCCAATTAGTCCTGCGCTGGCATTCTGCCCGCAATAAACGCCGGTCTTGGGTGTGGTTAGAAACGAGATGTCGAGTGTAATTACGAGTAAATGTGCGGTTTAGGAGTGGCAACGGCTAGAATGGTGGTGATGCTGGGGTGAAGAGGGTTATTACGAGCGAGCGAGCGCAGCGAGCGAAGTGAGTCTTTTCTGTATAACGGAAAAATCTCAGTATGAGCGGCCCGGCCCGGCCCG